GCTGTCTTACAATCCGCCTGAAAGCTCTAACATCGTTTGAACAGTTTATTATTCCCGGAGCGCGCCAACACACTCTCTCCTCCGCCATCCAAATACAACAACCTGTGTAAATAAATGTTATATTGCCGTACATTTTCATTTCTTTCCTCCTACTGTTTCTTTTCATCTTCTCATCCCTTGATACAGAAGCGAAGGACAATGAACAAAAAAATAAAAAAAGTTCGATCACTGCGACAAGCTGCAGTTTACACGCAAATGAAATAAAACGGCAATTAGAATTAATAAATCCCGAGGCGTTGTTTATTCTAGGCAAGTGATCTTTGTGTTTGAAATCACGTGTAGGTTGAAGGTTACGCTCGGTGTATTACACGATAGAGCAGTGCATTTGATTTCTATTTATCCGTCCTGCGTGTGTTTATATTGTTATGTTGCCAATGGAACGTTGATTCATTTAAATTTAGTGTCCCCTCCCAATTTCGAACATAAATTGCCATACGCAAATAAACTACGAACTGGAACATCATCATCGATGAATGGATGATGGTGATGCTCCTTTTGAGCGGCGAGGAATGCGTGTAAAAATATTTTTATTTGATTCACATCTACCCTAAAACAGAGTCCTCTCGCGTCTTTATGGAGTTAGGAAGGCCGCAATTAAGATGCGCATTACCTATTCAGGCATCGAACAATTCGAACAAAGAGCACATTAGAAAATCCGTTCGCCTTCGAAACCAACCAAGAGATCTGCAACATTCACAGAGGAAGCTCTTACTATGTGCGAGAGACGATGTATATATGCATGCATGCATCCTCTCTCATTTTTGCTCTGTCTCAATGAATATGTTATCAATTAGAGTTTGAAATGCATTCGCGGGATGCCCGGAATGCCGATTGCAAAACGACGACGATGATGTAAAAAAAAGTGGAGCTCGTTACATATATAGCGAAACAGGATCTCTGTACGGTGGTTTCATTATATTATTGCAGATATTTTAACTATAATTGCCCTATAAAAATGTTTACTATTTATAGATTATACTGTCGAGAATGCTGCATCGAGAAAAAAAGAAAGAAAGAAAGGATATGCATACTCTCTCCTGTGTGTACGTGAGGAATAACGAAACCGATTTTACGGCTCTAACGTTCTTGTTACTGCATTGCTTTGCCTCCTAAACAAATTACGCTCATTACTTAGCTATAATAAAGATTTATCACTTTCCATACATCGCTGAAAACACTTTGCTTTATTCTGAATGCAAATCACGTAAATTAGATCAGAAACTGGTACGCAATACTTTCGTATCTACTGCCAAACCCAAAAACTGCAAGTAACAACAATCTCAGCAATTCCCATTAAGTTCAATCTCTGAGCTTATATTTGTCACAATCTAAGGTTTTGAAACTGAATATAATAGCTGGGTGTTCACCTTGTCCCCAAGAAAGCTCAAACAAAACGTTGTCTTTGCTCAAGTGGGCAGTACCATAAATATGTATTAAAACCAGCTAAGTATAAAAATCTCGGGAGACAAATACCGTGCGAGAAGTTTCAATTCAAAAAGAAAAGTTAACTTACCAAATCTGAATGCATGAATTCAAATCCCAAAAGATTTCGAAATTATTCACAAACTCCACCGCATTAAATCGAGTGTTTTGCATTCTTCGCAGCTCAATTACAAATCGTAATTGCAAAAAAAAAAAACCTACATACTGCAGTATTTCATAACATTTTTTTATATTTATTCTTTCTATCTTAGAATCTTCAGAAAAGTTGTAAATCCTGTTTATAATTTCAGAAATTGCCTTTAGTTACATTTTTTTTTTGGAAATTTCATAAGTGAATATTCAAAACATTGGAAAGATCTCAAGTATAATAAGCATATGCAGTTATTTTGTCTATATTAATAGTGAGCCGGAATCTTCTGTCACCCGATTTGATGTAATAAAGGTGACATTCGAAATAGCTATTTTTTTTTATCTTGGAATCGAATTAGGGAATGGGCATTACGCAACATAATTCAGCGCTTCACAAAGAACAAGTCGACCATCGAGATTCGATTTAAAGCCATAATCCCTAATTTTACTTAACAGTTCCGGTGTACCGGACAGAACAAAAAAAGAGAACGAAGGAAGAGAAGAAACGCGACGATGGCTTACACAAAGTGGGTTGATCCATAAATATGTATTACATTAAACCGGCCGTATGTGGAAGAATTTAATAATAAACGAATGAAAAAGAAAATAAAACCAAAACCAAAACGAGTAGTATTATTGGAAAGTAAAGTCATGAAATACCTACGCGTTTATTGTTCAATTATGTTTTGTTGTTGTTTTTATCTTCTTTTTAATATAAAAATAACTTCCTTAGTTGGCATAATTCAATAGCAGTGTGTCGGTTACGCAATTGTAGATTTCTAAATAGAATCATGTTAGTTTAAATTGAAGAATACACTTTGCTACTTGGACATTTTAAAATATTTTTTGTTATATTATTATATACAACAATATTGATTTTTTTTAATTATTTTGGAAATATGTTAATTATTGCCAAATCATCAATTTTTAGTGTATGTAAATTGTGTTTTATCCTGTTTTGGTACGAAATTATTGAATGGTTTTCTAAATATAACCGTTGTTCGCATAAAGAGCGATGTAAAAACCGTACATGAAAATTGGTGGTGGTTGTTTTTGGTTTATATCAGAAAATCTCATATGCTCGATTCCCATGTTACGGAACCGTGAAAATCATGAGTGAAAATATCGCATGCACACATTAATCGAGTGTAAAAATGGGACGCCGAACTCAACTATCATCAGGCGAGGCAAGAAACCAGCCCCAACCTAACACGACCCGACCACACTAACCCAATACATTCGCAGATTGTGATCTAAACATGCCATCGTCTATAATCATCAGAACGTTACGAAATTTGCAATTAAAACGCAACCGAAAATCGGATCGGTATCGATGATATTTTTCTTTCTTATATTTTACATTGTAGCAGCCGTTCAACGTGAATATTCTTCTCTGTGGGTCGATCCCCTACCCATTTCTCTAGCGAAACTTTAAACCTTCCGGATATATCATTCTATACTTTGGATTATATTATGGATATACATGGGGGGCGGCGATGGAATATCGTTCGCGTAACATGTTATTAACTCAAATTTAATGCATGCCTCCTCTTTGGGTATGGACGAGGGGAGCGAGGAACATCATCTGTAGATATCGGTGCCGATTGCGCAACGAAGAAACTACAAAGAGACGTACGTTTATCGCGCCGTTATCCTTGCGATTCGATAGAACGCAATTAATTCCGCAAATTGTACAAACAAATTCGATGTTTGTTTGAACAAGACTTTCGAAAATAATAATAAAAGCGGTTTTATTAATTTGCCGATAGCGGCGATCCGACCACCAGAGAAAGAGAGGATCACAGAGGTCACGTCCCATAATCATGCGTTACTAGCGCAATTAAAATGTAATAAATAAATGCGCGATTAATGTCTTCTTTCCCATTTTATTTCCACGCGTATTTATACACAACGGTCCGTATGCAATAAAAACGAACAAGACCATGTCTCAATTTAGACTTATGTTATTATGCTTGTACAAAACCGTACGAGATGATGGACAAAACAAGTCTCTGGCCGAAAGAACAACACGACACGACACAACACAACTTGGAAAAGAATCAATGATATAATAATAATAGCGCAAAAAAAGGAGAAGGTGAGATCAGTAAGGTCGACAGCCTTTCGGGACGCAAATTGCTCATTACTTATTGTATTTATTGCTTTTAATAAATCGCTTATATAATTTATAATAATTTGCAATTCTAGAGTTTCCACAGCCACAGCGCACATGATTCATCGGCCATTGAATTTATCTGCCAGCTTTCTTTGCACGGAACGCGTTGTCGCTACTGCTACAAGTTGCGTATGGTGAAACCAATAGCTTTTAAGTTTCATTATTTCGAAATCAATTGATACGAGAACCGAGCTAATTGCAAAAATTAGATCGAATAGTCACGGAAATAGCATTTACATTAAATTAAATCCATTAAGTTTTTCATTGAGCAATGTCTTTGGTAAATGACTCGCCGCTTTACAATTAAACATCATCATCAATATTCAATAATAAAAAAAAACTATCTAAAATAATAGCGAGTTATTAAAGAAAGAGTTATTTGGAGTTGATTTATTAGTGATGCAAAGTGAGAATGATGATGATACGAAATGTGTCTGATGCATTTGCTCCTTTTATTCGCGATTCTAACCAGAAGTGAAAGTTAGGATGGGAAGGGAGGATAGAAAAGTGGAGAGATATCCCTTAAATGTGTTAAGGGGATGGAGTACAAAGAAAGAAAGAAATTTGGTTATAAAGGAATGGCGTGTGAAACCGAGCGTTTTAAGGCAATGGAATAATAAATATTAAAGCAGACGACCCTCCTACAAAATGTAAGCTACGATCCGTGGCCAGACAGGAATGATCATAGGGCTCTCAAAGAAATACGTGAACACAAAAAAAAAACACTACACGAAATAATCAATTCCACAAATTGACCATATATGTATAATAAGCAAATAATATTCAATAAATTGACATCAAGAAAAATATATATAATTAGTGTAAGTTAATAAAGTTATGTATAAGTTCGAATTCGGGGTTGATTGATAATAAACTTCGATACTCTATAATTATTATGAGAGAGTTAAATTAACAATAAGTTTTCATTATAATCCAACAGATATTAATATCGAAATGCGTGATGTTATCGTTTGTTGGTGTCTTGCGTTCCAAGATGAGATTGCGTCGGTTCTTGGGCGGAATGTATAAATATAGAGATGCGAATAATAAAACAATACTTAATTGTCGTTTTTTTTTAGTAATTCAATTTATACAGTTAGACTAATCGAAGAAGATTCCAGAACACGTGACGCGAAACGTGGTTTCAATGTGACGTGTATTGTATGTGGAATCGATGGATTCATGGACTTACCACCCATTGCTGGTTGTCGATGGCCGTGGCGGGTTGCTGGGGTTCTTCTTTCGGAGGCCTCGGTGTGACTTTGGCTTTCGCTGGAGATAGCCTGCTCACGGGTCGCGCGCTGAAGGGAAAATAAGGACTATCCGCCGCGAATGGCTCCCCCGTCGCCTGTGTTGGACTCGCACCCGAATACCCTGGACCAGCAGGACTAAGAGCATATGCCTACAATAAAAGAGTAAGAATGTATAACCAAAGCATGTACAGGAAATACACAAAATCTTGCTTGTTCATTAAACTATTGATGTTTTATACAATAAAAGTTAATTTACTTTATATTCGCTACAAATCTACTCAACTATTGATAAAACTATGTCTTTAATAAAAAAAGTAGGAAATACAAGTTATAGATTATCATATAAATGTATCCATGTTTATGTTTATGTTTATGAACACAAATAATATTGTTAATAAGCAGAATCATCTTCGTTTTAAAAATGTTTTATTTTTGTCTTCAGATTCGTATTCTACACTTATTATAATGCATTTTTCAAGAATTTATTAGAGCTGCAAAGGAATTACGAACAAAACGAGACATGCATAAGTTATTCGTTTTCAAGGAGATACAAGTAGATTAAATATTAAACAGAAGTACAATGATAATTGCTGAACATCGACGTACACGCCTCTCCTATAAAGTAGATAAATAAAAACGCACATGCTCATTCGGATCGCTGTCAATACATAATAGATACTTTTATTTTGAGAACAAAATATTACATTTTTTCTTCTATATAAACCTAATTAATTAATTAAAAAAATCAATATCTGTGATCAGAATGTAGTTGATTCTGTGCGATTAAGTAATTAATTGAAAAGATTTAGAAAGCATTGTAAATGATCACAACTAGATTTGAATAAAATAACGTTAAAATTGTTAGGAACGTAATAAATAAAATAATAACAATAAAAGAAATACGAAGAAGAATGATTCGTATTTAAGTTGAAAACCAGAATTGAGCAGCTGTTTGACGCTAAATCAAGGTTAATATCGTTCGGAAGAAAAATTTCGAGTTTAATCCCTGTCGGTGGATTTGCTGACTAGTCGCGCGCTCTCAAACATAATGTGGAAATTTCTGCAACTTCACGGTCACACATATCTATGGATCTGTGTTCCCAGGAGTCTGGATCGAAACGCCTCTATGATTATAATTAAAATAGCAGATTCGTTCGAGGCGATGGCTTTTAATGCGGCAGAAGGAACGGACGATCGTTTTGTTTTAGACTCTCTTGACCGTGATTTTGAAAGTTCTTAGAGACGAAGTGTGTTTATGCGAGAGAGAGAGAGAGAGAAAGATGTATTGTCAAAGAAGAGGGAGCGAAAGAGCGATTCGTCTGAAAATGTATATGTGTGGGTAATATTTTCAAAGCCCTGGCGACTTCGGGAAGCTCGCATAACACCTGTTGAGAAACTCTCTACGAAGCGAAGAAGAATTTTGAATCTGATTTAGAAGCCATACACATAGATGCTGAACCACCGCCGTCTTCTTTCTACAGCATTATTTGATAATTTTATTTCAAAAAAAATAACATTGTACAGAATAATTAGCCGTAAGCTAGTATAAAACGATAATTTTAAAAGGCTTTGTCCATCCAAGTTAGTTTCTCTAAGCGAATTGCATGTAGTGTATTAACTTCAGCGTGGTTAGCTTAATTGGAGATCTTGGTGGGATGAAAAAAAAAGGGACGTGAAATGAGGAAAAGAAATAAAGAACGTCCAGTAATTTGTCTCAAATAGAAAAATACATGGAACAAATTACTCGAAGTGCAGAAGGGAGGAGGTATACGTGTATATAGATATACGCAAGAGGTTATAAAGAAGGAAGAGCGCTGCAAAGTTATCCAACAAAACACGCATTAAAGTAGCAACAGGGAAATTATAATCGGGTTCAGTGCGCGACGGCCCTGCACATCCCTCCAAACCCTCTGCGAGGCGCGCAGTTCTTACACTCCAACCGAACCCGATTCCCGCTAAAGTTCCCAGAAGTTAACTTTCCTAGAGGTAGTAATTTTCTCTCCCTTACGACCAATAAAAGCCCCGCATCTCTCCTTTTCCTTGCTCAACCGCCGCCGCCGCCACCACCCCTCACACTAAATCACACGGCGTATTATTCAATTTGCAGATTACTCACCATGCCGTTGTCTATGACCCCATAAGGAGGCTGGAATCCCGGCTTTTCTGGAACAATGAAGAAAAAATAGCACATTAGATATGGTTATTATACCAAGGGGAAAGGGAGCGACCCGCATTGCGGTGTCAAAACCGCCGGACACGTCCGAAACACAAGAATGGTCAACGTGCAAACTACAGCACACACAGCAGCCAGCTAGGATGATATTATCTTAAAATGTCATTAGCATAGTTTATTGTTCATGCTTCTCTTAATCTAATATCACCCCCACATTGCGGACAGCAATTATCACGGAAAAGCGGGGGATAGTTTCGCCCTCGTCGAATGCAATTGACACAATACCTAACTAAGGTAAGTAAGTTTACACACCCAAACAAACAAACAGAAACGTACTTATTTATAGTTAAAATATTAGTATATCTATGAAGGAAGAAAGACATTTGTTTAACAATTGAAATATACTGTGGTACATTATTTTATTGTTGGATTTACATATCGTCAATTAAAATAGAAATCGCCTCCCGCTGAAACGTCGAGTGGTCTTGTAGGTTCACATAAATAAAACATATTTTCCACTCCAGGATATTGTAGGCATCTAGCGGAGAGTCAAAACGGTGAAAGAGGAGGGCCATCAAATATGCATGGGCCGGAAAACGGTGCCTGCAATTCTCTCCATAAAACATTCAAAATAGAAAATGTGTAATTATTTTTATTGCGGATGAATTCGTAATGACGTCTAGGAGGGTTGGGGTTAGGTGTTATGAGTTGGCTGCTGCAAGAAATCGAGAAACGACACGGAGGAATACAATGATGAAGAAGTGGAAGATGAGCGTCCCCCTTTTGTCGGGTAGGGCCCTTAGGAAACCATCGTATGGGTCATGTCGCCATAAGAACGTTCAGATGAAATAGTCCCTACGTCGAATACAGTTATAGTTCATTCTCCTCTCTTCGGCGATCCCGTGAGTGCGTTCTTCGACGGACGTCTCAGGCTTTCGGAGATACGACGTGAGACGAGGCGACGTACAACGAAGCACGTCGCAGCTTGGACGGCTCGGATTTCTATATAACATCTGCCTTTTCTAACCAACCCAGTCTTTGCTATGGCAATTATATGCTTTCTTATATACATACATACATATACACACACACATATATAATATGTCAGATTTTTTTTTCTACATTCTTTTTTAAACTTATATATTTATTTCGTTCTTGATTCAACTATATGCCTATGCACGAGGTTTGTTTTTGTTCCGATAGTTCGTTGACTCGCATCACTATCAACGAAGTGAGCTCCTCTCCTTCTTATTTACTCACTCCATCACCCACAACAAGGATATCTGGATGGAGAAGGCAAAATTTACCATTTCGGAATCGGATCATAAACACCGTCGATCTTTCGCCACTCCATTCCCAAGCAACGGATCCCTTTTACAGATGATAATTACTCAATCCCGACATACTTCTTTCTTCTCCACTGTTCGCCTTCCTCCGGTTCGAAATGCCCAAGTGTTCTGCATATGTACGCTACAACCGTATTTTTTTTTTGCTGCCTGCTTTTTCAACCATTCCTTTTGGGGAGTCTGGGCAGGGGCAGAAACTGGGGCACAACAATAGATCTGCATCCACCCAATCTTATTAGTTATTTACCGACGGAGATAATCGAAATTAATTGCAGCTATTAAAATGTATTTCGTATCGAAACAACGAGTGGACGTGGTCCACAACATACACACACCTACGTGCGGACAAACGTTTTCTTCCCGGTTCCATAATGCCATTTGTAATTACATTCGACCTCGTTCTTGTTCCTGTCTTATGCTTCTGATATTCCGGTTGGAGGAAAGAAAACTACAGCCCATTGCATCGGCAGGTATAACCACACTTTGTATGAAATGATAGCACCATAAAATTCTGAACCTCGATTATTTCCGTTTCGCAATTTCTGAATTCATATGGGTGAATCCTTCATTTGGGACTTGGACTCAACAATATTGAGTCAATAAATAGATGTTTCGGAGGGATAGGATGCGAAAATATGTTGGTTAACAATTACATCAGAGGTGGATTTATTCCAAGAACGTCTCTCCCCCATTAATGGCGAACAACAAAACTAATTATACTATACCCGAGGGTGGATTATCTTCGTCTCTCTCCTCCATCGCCCTCCACCTTTCTTTCGGGCAAATTGCACTTAAATAATTGAAAAGAAAATAGCAGACACATGTAAAGTATCTCAAACTGCATCAATAATCCACCGTTTTCTTTAAATAAATCAGGGACTCCATGAATATAAATCGTCGTCGCGTTGCGTAACGTGTACTTACATTAATTGCATGAAAATGGCACAAATGGCATTTGCAGAATTTTTATATTAAATTTAATGAATTACGTGTATGCACGTTTTGTTTTGACACGAGAAAGAAGCGCTCGCCCCCTTCTCTATCGCTCACTCTTTCTCCCAACATCTCTTGGCCAGAAACCGGCTGCTCATTTGGAGTTTTTTAATTTCCGTTATGTTTAATTTCTCTGCATTCCCAGCTCCAAATTTGAACACATCAAAACAACGGCTTTCCTTCCTCTCGCAGCAAATTTCCAAACAATAACCAATTCTCTTTCAATTAAAAGTAGACGAAGATCAACTTTGGATCAGTTTATTAATAATTATGCCTTATATAACGCAACGATAAATCGCGAAAAAGGAATCTGTATATATAAATACGATTTAGTGAGTAAAAGGCTCTGGTTTTCCGTGATCTCAAGGCAAGAACAACAATAATAATAATATTGCAATGATAATAACGAAACCAAATAAATAAGGCTGTAAAAACTGCAGCAAATATGGTAGGCGGTTTGAAAAATTCATGCGGCATACGACAATCCAACCGTACATGGAAATCGTTTAAAATAATGTAACAATCGTCGTTTCTTCCAATTTGAATTTAATGGCACTGTTCCAATCCTAATCCTCGAGACTTTGCTTATTTTTTCAATAATTTTATTCTTGTTTTCAGCCCAAACATACAAAGTCTAATAATGATTGACTTACATAAAAGTTCATTTATAAATATGCTATTTTTATGTAGCGCTGAAAGATACATCCACAACATTACGCATCCATGAAAGAGATTTATTCCAATCAATATTTATCTGATTCGAAACATGGACTATTCCTTGTTTGAAAAATAATTAACTAACACCTTTGAAATTGTTTATTTTTTCTTGTAGTGTCAAGAAATATCTTTATCACGAAACTATTTCATGAATAAATACGAGTTGATAACTCAATTTACATTTATAAAAATGAATCAATAAAGATTTGAAATACCTTGATGCAAGCTGCATATTGCACCTGCGGGTCTTTGATTGATTTCCATTTAAATATCATGTTTAATCGAAAGATCTTTTAATTATTACGGTTGTAGAATTCGTTTTCGTTGTGAGCTTTCCCTCGCAATTGATCAATGATCACCAAATTCCTTTCATATTTGTCTTATGTATAATTATATATATACTATTAAGTATTATTAATTGACATTTTTTTCTCACAATTATTTTGTAAATGAATATTAAAGCAAAGAAGAAGCAGACGTAGATGATTGAATCTTAGAAATAAAAAAAACTTTAACGACCCCTTTTAGTGTTCGACTAACGTAAATAAACCGGATTTAGATGAGGAGAGAAAAAAAAGGTATTAAACATACAGAAGATAATTAAAGACTGCTTTTTTTTTTTAAAAAGATCTTAAAACAATCCGAACGAAATAAATAAAAATTTACTTATTCGTTATCGTCGTTTTAAACATTAGTGTAAATTGAATGTATTGTCAATTACATAATATGAAGCATATTAGTCACAAAGGCTCAAGATCACTAAATTAGAAATAAAGAATATAAATAAAGATTATATTTAAAAGGTTTGCAATAGATTTTAATAATAATAGTTAAGTTTCAACTTAAAACAAATTGTTAATAAAATTTTTATAATTAGTCATTTATATTAACTATTATTTCATTCATTAAATTCAAGATTTCGTGTTAATCTTGAAGCTCATGTTAATTAGCATTAGTATTGTAGTAAATAAATGTGTAATTTGTAAAAAAAAAATTAATCAATAGTTGTCATTGCGTGGAAAAACTGCTTTATTCAACATGACATAGACGAGTTCTGCGAGATAGAAATTTTAAACTTTTCGGATTGACACTGATCATGGGAGCGGCGCGAAACAATTGATTTTATCGATGGGTAAATGATTGGTTAACAAAAGCGAACAAACACGCATTGTTTAATGGATTAACCAATGGAGCTAAGCTCGCGTTGAAACAAGCGAACAAAAAAAAAACAAGGAGACGAAGGCAGAGCGAAATCTAGCGCTTCTAGCCGTATGCAAATCACCAGAAGATATTTATCAATACACAATGTAATTACAAGGCACTTGCGTAATTAATTATCGGCGAGTCGTGAAATGCGTTTCACCCAATTTGTAACTGAAATGTAAGGAAAATGGGTCAGCGAATTGATCGGAACAAACGGAGAAGAAGTTGAAGATGCATTCAAGGAAGGAAAGGAGGAAGAAGAGAGAGAGAGAGAGAGAAAAAGAGGCTGATGATATTTAATTTATTTGTATGTCTCTAGTGGCAAACAGCTGTTTTAGAGGTATCTCCGTCTTTCTTTTTTCCTTTTGGAAAGGTAAGCTCTCTCGTGCACACACGCACGAAACTCGTTTTATCCACAGGTAGTTGCCAACGCACGGATATTTTTAATGTTTTTGGCTTGAGCCGAGCATGCGGTCCGAAGATTTAGTGCACGAAAATGAGAGATGAAGAAAATAGCATGAACGGGAAACGATGGCGGTGGAAAGGAAGAGAAAACACGTGGTCATAAGAGCGACACTTTGGTTGACACTTCGACTTGTATGAAACGTACAGAAAATTTTAAAATAATAACAATACAGGATTTAACTGTAACCGGTATTTTCGTGGAAAATTGTCGAAGATGGATCAGATAGCATATGGTTCCAATTATTTTTTCGCTGTTGCTGCTGGTG